CCTAACCAAAAAACCCGTCTCTTACTGAAAATACAAAAAACAGCCGGGCGTGGTGGCGGCTGTCTGTAATCCCAGCTACTCGGGAGGCTGAGGCAGGAGAATCGTTTGACACCGCGGGAGGAGGAGGCTTGCAGTGAGCTGAGATCACGCCATAGCACTGCCCCCAGCCTGGATGACAGGGCGAGAGACTCATCTCAAAAAAAAAAAAAAAAAAAGAAAGAAGAAAAAATTGCTTAGAGCAAATGTGAAAATTTACATATAGAGCTTGTCATCTATAACCCAGATAACCTTTCTTGGTTATTTGATGTCTTTATGTCTAGGACCAGGGTTTTTCAACCTCAGCACTATGGCCAGGTAATGTCTCCGCCTGTTGTGGGGTGCTGTCCGGAGCACTGCAGGATCTTTCACAAGCCTCCTTGGCTTCTACCAGGAGCACCCACCCTACTGCCAGCTGTGATAACCGGAAATGTCTCTCAGACGTTGGCCAAATGTCTCCTAGTTCAGAGCCGCTGGTCTAGATTAGAGGTTTTAAAAGCTCTTACCCAATTAAATCACTGGTTCTCAAAACTTGGCAGCCATATTAGAAATACCTAGGGTGCTTGAAAGATACCGATACCCAGGCCCTCACCCCCAGACATTAAAAAGAATCCTAGCCGGGCCATGGTGGCTCATGCACTTTGAGGAGGGCCGAGGTGACAGATCCCATGAGGTCAGGAGTTTGAGGCCAGCCTCGCAACATGATGAAACCCCGTCTCTACTAAAAAGTTCAAAACTGTAGCCAGGCATGTGGCGGGCGCCTGTAATCCAGCTACGCGGGAGGCTGAGGCAGGAAACTGCTTGAACCCGGGAGCAGAGGTCTGCAGCGAGCCAAGATCGGCACGCCCACTGGCACCGCAGCCTGGGGGAGCAGAGCGAGACTTGGTCTCAAAAAAAAAAAAAAACAAAAAACAGAATATTGAGTGGCTAGCGGCAGGGCACAGGTGATTCTGAAAGCAGCCCCAGGCTGAGCTTTTAAATATCAACCAAAGGTCAAGAAATAACTAAGAATTTGAGCAAAAAAAACCCATACATATACACCCACATTGGACAAGCAAGTGAATAATATATATAGCCAATACAATATAACAATATGAAGTAGAGTAAACCACGGGGGGGGGGGGAGAGAGAGAGAAAGGAGAGATTCTATAGAGAGGAGACAGAGAGGATTAAACAAGAAAGATATCTAACGGACGCGCACGGAGACAGTCAGCCCAAGGAGAGATTAGCACCCCAAACTTGGTGTGCAGGCCCTTGTCCGCTGGCCTTCGCTGCAGCCCAGACGGCATAATCTTTCTGCTGGGATGGACACAGCAGTCCCGGCCGTGACAAGGTTCCATCCTTACCTGGACACATTCGGAGTCGCTGCCTGAAGACGCAGGCAGGATGTCGCTGGGTGTTGAGAAAACAGCGCCCAGGCAGGGGAAGCAGGCAGAGGACGGCAGAAGAGCCGTACTTCCGGCCTGTAGGATCACGGCCCCACCGTGCCTCCAGGTTCTGGCTGCCCGTAACGTCTGGCGTGCACACAGCCAAAAAATGAACGCCCATTAGCGCACAGACCCAGCACCCAGGCTGTGCCCCTAAAAAAGCCTTCAATTGTGGCCTCAAACTAAAGACAGGCAGGTTGGGGGCTGGGTGACGGTGGCTCACGCTGTAAATCTCCAGTCACTCCAGGAGGCTGAGGCAGAGAGAATCGCTTGAACCGCCGCGCGAGGGCATGAGGTTGCAGTGAGGGCTGAGATTACACCACCGGCACTCCAGCCTTGGGGGGGGCCCAGAGCAACGGACTCACTCCCTCCAAAAAAAGAGTCCAAAGTCCATCGCCGGCCGCTAGAGACTTTGCCGCGCAGTGTCTTAGGTAAGGATGAGGATGGTGTGAAGGATGCTTCTCAAACTCAGCGGCTCCATTAGTGGCATCACCCGGGACTCTCCAGCTTTCAAAAACTCGAGGCCAAGGTCTCACCTAATGACATTCTTGGACTTAATTCGCCTCCACCAGGGCCAAGATTCAGAAGATCCATAAAACCTTTTTAAAAAAAAAAATCTCCTACGGGCCCCGGGCGCAGTGGCTCAAGCCTTGTAATCGCGCAGCACCTTGGAGGCCGAGGCGGGTGGATTAGTGAGGTCAGGAGATCGACGACCGATCCTGGCTAACATGGTGACAACCCCGCTGTGCTCTACTAAAAATACAAAAAACTACGCGCGGCCGCGTTACGCGGTGGCGGGCGCCTGTAGTCGCCAGGCTACCTCCGGCAGGCTGAGGCAGAAGAATGGCGTGAACCTCTGGGAGGCGGAGCTTGGCAGTGAGCGCGAGATCCCGCGCCGCACTGGCACTCCCAGCCTGGGTGCCACACGCGCGAGACTCCGTCTCAAAAAAAAAAAAAAAAAAGAAAAATTCTATTTTAATCAACAATTTTTTCTTTTTAGCAGAACAGTAAACCATCTGAAATTCACACTGCATGTTATTTTTAGAGAACTGGAAAAAAATTTTCTTTAGGGAAGGGCACAACGTTAGCAGGGAGGCGCGAGATCCCGCCGCCACCTGCCCTCCAAGGGGGCTGAGCAACCAAGAGGGCCAGAGCTCCCAATCCTCAAAAAAAAAAAAAAAAGGCGCAGGCTGGGGCATGTGGCTCATGGCCTGAAGGCCCAACAGGTTGGGAGCGGCCCGCAGGATTCGCTTGAGGCCCCACGGAGTTTGAGTGCCAGCCTGAGAGTTGGCCCAAAACACCCGCATTCTCTACAAAACAGAGAGTGAGCAGACAGGCGGAAATTAGTTGGGTGTCAGTGGTGGGCATGCCTGTAATACCGGGTAGCTTGCGGAGGGAGGGCAGAGAGATCGCTGGACGGCCTCAGGAGTTCGAGGGCCTGCAAGTAAGGACACACAGTCCCGCCGTGACAGGTTCCATCTTACCTGGACACATTCGGGTCCTGCCTGAAGAGCAGCAGGATGTGCTGGGTGTTGAGAAACAGCGCCCAGCAGGGGAAGCAGCAGAGGAGCAGAATGAGCGTACTCCGCTGTAGGATCACGCCCACGTGCCTCAGGTTCTGGCTCCCGTACGTCTGGGGTGCACACAGCCAAAATGAACCCATTAGCACAGACCCAGCACCCCAGCTGTCCCCTAAAAGCCTTCAATTGTGCCTCATAAAGAAGCAGGTTGGCTGGGTGAGGTGGCTCATGCCTATAATCCCAGTATTTTGGGAGGCTGAGGCAGGAGAATCGTTTGAACCCCGGAGGCAGCGGTTGCAGCGAGCCAAGATCGCACCACTGCACTCCAGCCTGGGGGACAGAGCGAGACTTGGTCTCAAAAAAAAAAAAAAAAAAACAGAATATTGAGTGGTAGGGAGCAGGGGCACAGGTGGATTTGAAAGCACCCAGGTGATTTTAATATCAACCAAGGTCAAGAATAACTAAGATTTGAGCAAACGTCAGAAACTACCATCCCACATGCAGAGTGCTTGCAAATCTGTTTTCATTGAAAACAGATGCAAGTCACCCAGGAGGGGAGGGGGAGTACATCTTAGGTGCCAGGTGAGGAAAGTATTAAGACCCAGGAGACGTCAGCCAAGGAGAGATTAGCACCACCTTGGTGTGCAGCCTTGTCCCTGGCCTTGGCTGCTCCCAGACGGCATAATCTTTCTGTGGGACGGACACACAGTCCCGCCGTGACAGGTTCCATCTTACCTGGACACATTCGGGTCCTGCCTGAAGAGCAGCAGGATGTGCTGAAAGAAAAAATTGCTAGAGCAAATGTGAAAATTTACATATAGAGCTTGTCATCTTATAACCCAGATAACCTTTCTTGGTTATTTGATGTCTTTATGTCTAGGACAGGGTTTTTCAACCTCAGCACTATGGCCAGGTAATTCTCCGCCTGTTGTGGGGTGCTGTCCCGAGCACTGCAGGATCTTTCACAGCCTCCTTGGCTTCTACCAGGAGCACCCACCTACTGCCAGCTGTGATAACCGGAAATGTCTTCAGACGTTGCCAAATGTCTCCTAGTTCAGAGCCGCTGGTCTAGATTAGAGTTTTAAAAGCTCTTACCCAATTAAATCACTGGTTCTCAAACTTGGCAGCATATTAGAATTACCTAGGGTGCTTTGAAAGATACCGATACCCAGGCCTCACCCCAGACCAATTAAAACAGAATCCTAGCCGGGCATGGTGGCTCATGCACTTTGAGAGGCCAACGGGGGATCACTTTCAAAACTCTGAAGGCCAAGGTCTCACTAATGACATTCTGGACTTTAATTCACCCAGGGCAGATTCAGAGATCCATACCTTTTTAAAAAAAAAAAATTCTAGGCCGGGCGCAGTGGCTCAAGCTGTAATCCCAAGCACTTGGGAGGGCCGAGGCGGGTGGATTATGAGGTCAGGATGATCGAGACCATCCTGGCTAAACATGGTGAAACCCCTGTCTCTACTAAAAATAACAAAAAAAACTAGCCGGGCGTGGGTGGCGGGCGCCTGTAGTCCCAGCTACTCGAGGGCTGGAAGGCGGGAAGAATGGCGTGAACCTGGGAGGCGGGAGGCTTGCAGTGAGCCGAGGATCACGCGCCACTGCACTCCAGCCTGGGTGACACAGCGCGAGACTCCGTCTCAAAAAAAAAAAAAAAAAAAAAATTCATATTTAAAAACAAATTTTCTTTTTACAGAAGTAAACAATCTGAAATTCACACTGCATTTATTTTTAGAGACTGGAAAAAAAATTTTTTTAGGGAGGCAAAGGTTACAGGGAGCCGAGATCCCGCCACTGCCTCCAAGCTGAGCAACAGAGCCAGAGTCCATCTCAAAAAAAAAAAAAAGCCAGGGCCTCGGGCCATTGT